CCTTGCAAAGAGTACGGAGGCGTCGTTCTCCGGCCGACATAGCTCGAGTTTCCTCAAACACTTCCAGCATTAGTATAATGAAAGATGCGTTATGGTAATCAAAGGGTCGCGAGAAGTGTTTGTGGGACCAGGTCTTGGCAGCATGCCGGAAGGCCTTGATCCACGTGACGAGCTTGCTGGCCGGTTCGTTCGTAACCCAAGCGTTAGACCAAGCGGTTGTGGTGGAGGGGAGGAAGCCTGGGCATTTTATCCAGGCGTTTTCAAAGTGGAACCGACATGATTTTGGAGTGGAAGTTGGGAGGTTGAGGATTAGAGGTATGTGGTCCGAGGTGGAACCAATGCGCGAGGTGAGGCAGGCATTGGGGAAGACGGCGGTGAAGGCGTTGTTGATGAATGCATGGTCCAGCCTTGCCAAGGTTGGAGAGTCTCTCTTGTTGGACCAAGTGTAGAGACGGTCAAGGAGTGGGAGCCTGATCAGACAGAGCTCGTCGACAGCGCTGTTGAACTTGTTCACCAGCTTCCAATCAAAGTGGTCAGTGTTCTTGTCCACTGGTGACCTGATCAGGTTGAAGTCACCGATGGCCAGCCAGTTGGAGTTCGCCGGCTAGGCGCAATGGTCTGGAACTCAGCAAGGAACGCATCCGTGTCACGATGATCAGAGGGAGCATAGACGTTCGTAACGGTGAAATTATAGCTAGGTGAGGTCGAAGTGAATGAGACGGTGAGGCAGTGGTCGGTCTGGGAAATCTCCTCTGTCGAGACCAAATCCGGATTCCTGACCGTGACGATGCCACCGCGGGAGCCATCGGTCGGAGAGTAAGCGAAGGTGCTCAGGTATGCTGAGAGGAAGGCTTTGCTCTTGGTCGAGTCAATTGTGTGTAGTTTGGATTCTTGAATACACACAATGTGAGGATGAGAGACGGAGATGGTGTCGTGCACCGCGTCGCATTTTTCAGAAAGGCCAAGGTCACGGATGTTCTAGGACAACAGAGTATAGTTAAAGCGCTCTTGATTCATTAATCTAAGATTACACCAGGTGGAGTCGGGGAACAAGGCAGAAAAGCACAGAAACATAAAATGGTGGAGTCACTACAGCAACCTACCTTCATGGACGCAGCCGGAGAGGGTGGGGAAAACGTCCTGCACGCGGACGGGCAGGTCGCTGCCAGTGACGTTGAAAGACTAAAGGAGCGCAGAGCTAAATAGCTAACCCAGGCACAAACGCAGGACTTGGGCCTAAGAGAATGAAGGCAAGGATCCCTCATGGAGCCGCAGCAGTGCCCAACACCGCGGCTGCCACTGACCGGCGACCGATGTAGGAGAGGCCAGCAGCCATGGCAAGGTGCCCAAGGTCAAGTGCCCCGATGGGGTTCTTCCTCTTGAGCAGCTTGCATCCTGTCACCTGCTTCTTGAGGGACCCAGAGCAGGCCGCCAAGCTCTCGCGTAGAGCCTTGCGCTAAATGGCCTTGGCTGCAACAGGGATGAACACCGTGGACTCCTTCTCGGCGAGGCGGACGCTGCTGCGCTGTGGAGCCGCCTGTCCAGAGTGGCGCCCCCTCGGGGCCTTGCCTACAACCGGGCATGCCGGGCTGCCATCAGGGTGTGCCGGGCTACCAACCGGAGTTGGCGGTGGCGGTGCCGGGAGCTGGTCGTCGTCGTCGTCATACCACAGTAGAGCAAGGAGCGGGCGGCTATTGAAAGCGGGACGAGGAGCGTCAGTTTGAAAAGAAGCGGGGAACAAAATGATGATGGGGAGGCGTGGGAGTGGCGGGAGAGGGAAGCGGCTTACGAACCGGAGAAAGTAACCACCGAGGCCTAGGAAAGGCCCAAGGCCGTCGAAGGCCCAGCCTGGCTGGTCCACCAAATCCCCGTGGAGTACCGGCCCAAAAGGAGGGACAGGCCCATGAGACCCGGGGTGGGCGTTGCCACGCGCCGTTCAGCGCCACCAGTGGGACCAGCGGGAAAAGAAGCGAGAGGTTCCCACTCATCGAGCTGCTCCTTCCTCGGCCAAATCCACAACACCTCAATGGTGAAGGCCGATCCCAGCGACTCACCCAGAGCACCCCAACCTAGGTTCCCGATGTATAGGTCGTTCTAGATCCCGGTCATGGTCTTTGGCCATCACAACCCGAGAGCACCGAGTGGTCATCGTCCGAGGCAAGCTGGGTCAATGTCGATGACGGTACCCGACTTGCAAAAGCTGGCCGGGATCCCCTCTAGGTCCTAGTGCTCCTCTAGGAAGTCGACTGCCGAGACCACCACGAGCCATTTCTGCACGATGGTGAAGCGGTTGGATGTCTCCTCCGCGCGCTCCAAGGTGAGGCGAGCGCCATCGTGAGTGATGGGGGTGAGGCCCGTCACCGCATCGCGGTCACCACGGGAGTCGAAGCACAGCATCATGTTGCCCCGCAAGGAGCCGTGCGACGTGAAGTGGACCGTGGGTGCCACCGAGAATAGGGCAACCACGGATGAAGGGGCGAGGGGTTGTCGGGGGCCATCGATGTTGATGTAGGCATAGGCGATCCGGCCCACGCACTCCATGTCCCCTGGCAGCATCCAGGTGATGTCGTCATCGCCCCCGGCCAGCGGATCTGGGGAGTCCGCGTGGAACGGGGATCCATCGGAGTCCACCTCCTCCTCAGAGGCACCGTCATCCCCCGAGCCACCAGAGTAGTCCTCGTACTCGTACCTAGCAGGGATGGCCGGGGCACAAGCAATAACACGGCACAGGGCGGGGAGGCGGACATGGGGGCGCCCGACGCCGGCCACGTGGCAATAGGTGGAGAGCAGTCGATGGAGGGAGCGTAGAGGTCAACGGTCCTAACCGGCCGCATCAAGGAGCCAGAGCAATGAACCTCAAGGATGTGGTTAATGTCCGGCACCTAAGTTGGCGTAGCCAAGGGTGGTGCCCGAGCCGGAGGGAGAGGAGGTGAGGGGGTGGTCAGGTAGGGGACAAGTGGTGTGGTGGAGGTGGATGAAGGAAGAAGCGAACAAAGGCGAAAGCGAAGAAGGCGGCGGAGGGAAGATGGTGGTGAGGCGGTGGCGCCAAAGGGTGGGCTGGCGTGGTGAGAGACCTTGCAGCTCCTCTCCATGTGGCTGGCGACCACAATGATGTCACCGGATGGGGTCACGGCAATCGCGAGCTAAGTGATCGGAGGCTAAGCGGTAATGAAAGTAGGTGATAGATGGTTTGCGAAACACAGGGGTGCCGGCTTTTTGTAGAGGGAAGTGGCCAGGGGAGTGGAGAGCTTCCTTGAATGACCGGCCAAGACGAGTAATGGCAGCGTTGGGCTCGAGGGCAGAGCCGGTCATGTCGTCGGCGTCCTTGAGTTGCAACGTGTCGAGCTGGGGAAGGGGAAGCAGAGGCGGAAGAGAAGGGTTGGCCGCCGTGGAGAGAACAAGTAAATAGGCAGATCTTCTACCCGATTTGCTCGACTGACTCCTTAGCTGGATGCCGATGGCGAGGCGAGGTCAGGGCGCGGCGCCCTGGCCGCCGCAATGAGGGATAGTGAGGGAACATTTGAGGCGGAAGTGGCATTGGCGGAGGAGGTGAAGTCGACTCGCGCTCGACTTATCTCCTCGAAACCACGCATTTAAAAGTTAAGTAGGGAAAGGTTTGAATTTGTCCTTACCCACGCTGCCGTTGAGGAAAATGACCGTTATGACGTCGTCGGGCTGGCAACCTCGACGGCGAAGATGAAGGCCGTCGAGTGAGAGACCGAAAGCCACACCGGCGGCGCCGTCAGGTGAAAAGAAAGGACATTTGCGACTTGGCAGCAAGAGAGGAGGACCGGCAACGCTGGGGTGACCCACAAGGTCGTCAGAGAGGAAAGAGAACGCCCGAGGAAGTAGGGGGCAGCAGTAAGATGGAAATCGAGAAGAAGCTGATCTTGAAAACGAACACCCGGTCTAAGCGCTTGGGTAGACGTACGTGCCACAATGGCGTTGTCGGAGAAGGAAGGCGTCGTCGGGCATGCCACTTGACCTTGTCACCAACGTTGGTGGTGGTGGAGGTGGTGGGTGGCGGGCTGCTTGGAGGTTGGCCGGGGTGGCGGTGGAGCAGGGTTCAGTGAGTCCCCACGAGCTCGTCCTCGGCTTCGACTTCATCAACCTAGGAGCGACTCTGGGCGGACGGCGGGCTTCAGTGGCGGCGGCGTGGCGGGATAATAACGCGCCTGGCTGCGAGGCGGGGGGGTGAACCAGGGGGTCGAGGAGGCCCTTGATGAGGCGGGGCTCTCTCGAGCTCACTCATCTCGGTAGAGATCGTGGGAGGTTCATATTGAAACGGAGGTGCCACCCAAAGTAATGTAAAAAAAAACAAGCTAGAAATTTTACTAGACATACACCGTCTGGGGTGGGGGGCTCTCGAGCTCACTCATCTCAGCCGAGATCGTAGGAGGTTCATATTGAAACGGAGGTGCCACCCAAAGTAATGTAAAAAAAACAAGCTAGAAATTTTACTAGACATACACCGTTTAAAAGGCTAGAAATCTTGCTAAAAATCTCAATTGCATGGCTATTATTTTTTTACTAGAAGGCTTTAACCAGAAATTGATTATTTGATTTAATTTCTCCATTCAGACTTAATGATATTCATAGGATTTTTCAACGACATCAAATATTGCAAACTGCAATGCTTATTACAAGCTAGACATTGTCATTCATCAAACAAACACATGATGAAATGAAAACCCAGAAATTGGTATTCGTTTACTCACAATGACTATCTAACACTGTGACTGATAATAAACCGGCTGAATCTGATATGCTGTGAGAGAAAAAACGGTTCGATAAGTTCTAAGCCAACAGGGCCTACCTACGTGGCTTTGTGCCTTTGCCCTGACTGTGCAGCAAGCCAGCAAACACCAGCCAAGCGGACCAACTAGCAGGAGCAGCTGAGCAGGTTGGAGGCTAAGCAGTGGCGGATCCAGAGGCCCGCACCCGGCAGCAGTCCTGGATAGCGGGGCTCCTGGACGGCGACGGCCAGCAGCCGGCAAGGGATGGCCTGGCGGCCTGGCGCAGGCGCCAGAGGGGGAGCGGCGGAGGGCGGAGGGGGGACTGCTGCACTGGACGCCGGATGCGGAGCCGCGAAGGGCGGAGGCCGGACGACGCGAGTTCAGGTGGACGGCGCGCTGGCGTGGTCGCGATTGGAGGGCACGGACGAGCCACGCACGGTCGCGACTCGCGAGTCGCGGGTGCGGTGCAGGCGCGGCCGTGGCTGCTCCGTCCTGGGCAAGGCTGGGGCTGGCACCAGGGTTGATGTGGATTTTGGGATGCTGGGCTGAAGACTTGCCCCTTTGGAATTCGGCCCACAACCGGGGCTGCAGCCCCGCGAGCCCCTTCGTGGATCCGCCCCTGCTCGTGATAGACCTGGACATTTGATTTTGTTTGTAGATAGGTTTGTTGAAAAAAAAAGATATTGGAGAAAAATAAAAACAAACTTGTTAACCGCGTCCCCGGCTACTGCTTGCTTCCTTTAAAAGAAAAACATATATCTGGAAAAAAATAAAAAACAGATCCGAGCAGCAGGCGGAGGAGGTGCCATCAACGCGAGACGCGGAGGCGCCGACCTAGCTAGCTACGAGTCACGACATGGCTGGGGTGAAGCAAGACCAGGTCCCTCAAACCGTGGGCTTTCTGGAGGTCAGCCTCACCGGGCCGAGGATGAGCGGCTTCGCTGGTCCGGCGTGGCCACGGACCTGCACCATCTACGTGGCCATCGCCGACGAGGTAGTCGCCTGTCAAACGCTTCCGTTCGATTTTGACAAGGATGACTTCAAGGCGTGGAGGCTGGCGATCAGGATCCCCGTCGCGTCGAACTGGCCGGACCTATCTCTAGACATCTTCGTGGAGCGTGCCGACTTCCTCTTCCGAAGGAGGACGAACATGGTGGTGGTGACCCGCGGGGGACCCCACACCTCGGGCCACACCGCCGTCATCAGTAGGGCACGGGTGCGGCTGCTCGACGCGCTGGTGCTCAGGGACATGGATGATGATGAGGAGGAGGAGAAGAATACGAAGAGGCGCCGCAACGAGGTGGTGGAGGGGAACCCAAGGCTGCTGGAAGGGACGATGCCGTTCGGCAAGGTGGTGAAGCTGCTAGACTGGGAGTTGCCGGCACCCGGGGACGAGTACGGGAACCCACGGGCTGTGGTGCGCGGCACGGTGGATGTGCGTATCAACTTGAGGCCGCCGTTCTTTTAGGTAGCTTAGGTTGTTCACATTGTCTCTTCAGATTTGGTTCCAATTTATCTTTCCTGGTCAGGTTGTTCATTGTCTGCTCAGATGATTTCCCTATTTTAGGGATGAAAGCGAAACTGGAAGGTATCGGTTACCGAGGTTTTATCTGTTTTTTACTAAAAATAAAACAAAATGTCCAGTGACTCACACCTTATGTGTGGTAGAGTTCAGATTTTTTTGTATATATTGGTCATCAGTCCAGATGCAGTACCAAAAACTTGGAGAAGTAGGCGGACATTGATCACATCATCACTGATTGTTGGCCTCACAAATAGCGCCGCGTCATCAGCATACAAACTTGTCCGGCAACGAATCGGTGCAGCGCCGATTGGTGATTGGTGCCCAAGCTAAGTGGCCCGATCCAACCTCCTCGTACGGCTCGAGAAAATGATTCGAATTTCTGTCTATAATAATGCAAATAGATAGAAATTTGCTTGTGACTTACATTAATTTCCTTAAAGAAAATAAAAAACGAATTTCATTTATACTCATGGCTCAAGTTGGCTAATTTTGACTAACAAACTTCAAAAGAAAAACCCTTCGAAATTTTTTGTGTCATCTCTAAGCTCTTTTCTTTATCTCATCTCGAACAAATTGACTTTTATTTCTTATTTTGATCTAATTCTATTGTTGAGACGGTTGAAAAATGGTTTCACGGCGAGGATGAATAGCATTTGAGAGAGGGGATCTCCTGACGCGTAGTCCCCGACGGTGTTTGATTGGTTGCCCAGGTTTGCCATTTACATGATCCTTGAGGATGTTGTAGCCCATAGTATGGAGATGATATCCCGCCAACGCTCTGAACTGATAAAGTTATTCTGAACGTCGTGACAAAAATTCTCAAGAATCCCGGGTATCAGGGTCTTATTTTTTTTTCCTAGCGACATCTATTGACAATCATGCCCATTCTTCCACTCTGAATTGATAAATTAGAGGTCACTGTTTCACAATTATTCATTACTATCCAATACGTAGTGAGTTGTAGCACGGTCATGAATTCGAGTCAAAAATTAAATTAACTTAGTGTTAAAAATCTTTGTTTCTTAAGGGGTCAAAGATTAAAATGGTTGTAATCTCTTATTTATTATTTGTTTTTTCTCTTATTATATTTATTAGAACACGAAAAAACCAGGTGGAGAAAACAATGAAAACAAAATTAGAAAAGTCGAACTAGTGTTAAAAACATCCACGAGAAAAAAATATGAGCATACTCGAAGCCAAGTAGAAAACAGTCATGACAAAAATTAGAATGTACTCTAGAAAATAGGCACGGAAAAAAAATCAAAACATGTTCGGAGCCAAGTGAAAAGCGTTCAAAATGAACGTAAAGCAACACGTACTCGGAGCAAGTAAAAATGGACAGACAAAAAAAAGTAAAAAAAAAGAACAGAAAAAAAACTAAACAAAGAAATTCTTACCCTTCTTTCCTCTTTATTAGATTTCTATTCTTATATTTTTGCATTTGAATTAAGATTCCTATTCCAGGTACTCAGAGTTGGAGAGATCTATTTAGATTAAAAAGATTCCTAGTTGTCCATATTATTATATTTTCCTATTTGAATTAAGATTCCTATTCACCCGAAATCGGAGATATCTAATTAGATTATGATTCCTAGTTATCTAAAGAGAAGGGTTATAGGTGGGTTTCCATATTCACAAAGTTTGTTAAGGGATGGCCGGACCAAAAATAGGTGGAGAGAAATTTTACCTCTTTATTATTAGGTATAGATTGGTGTAATAGGCCATGCAAGAAAAGATACTTCAGGAATCGACCTAGATGGGTGAAGGCTTGTTAAAGAGTCAATTCAAAGAGATATGTGATGAAGCCCCATTTCTATACATGGTGAAGTTTGTATAGACGGAGAACATAGGGATTTGCCAAATTTCAGGTGTCTTAATTTTAGTTTTTTTAGGCGACAGTTATTGCATATATTTTATACTAAAATTATAGTTTTAGTTCGTTGCAATTTTATAGACACAATCTGTCATTTTTTGTTCCGAGAATAAAAAATCTGTTAAACAAAACTACAAACCTGACAAAATCTAATATGTGTTAGCACAAAGACAATTTAACAATTTACAATTATTTCTATAGTTAGACAAGGACAAAAATTTGATATGTCATGGCATTAAGACAAATAACAAATAACAAATAACAGAAGTGACAATTTATTTGTACTAATTGGTAGTATAAGAGTGTTGCCTGAAATCATCTTAAAATTTAGGTACCTGAAATACAGGAGAAGTGGAAAACATATTTATGCTGAACTTTTTGTTTTGAATGAATATTCATGGCGAAGTTTGTAGAAACCTTCCTTTCCCCCCAGCTGGTCTAAACATTCGCTTAACACTCTATAAGGCTGGGCATAGTGGTCTAGTGGAGTTAATCAACAGTTCATCACCTTAGTCAACTTTTTATATGTTTATAGACGTCCTGTTTTACTATCCTGAAAATACATGTCGTATTCTAGACACTATGCTAAAAAGGCAAAGATATATTACAAGTCATGTTTTTACTACAAATAAAAAGGACACTGATATATATTATTATATTATCCATGCTAAAACACAGATATTTGGGGAAGATTCATTACTTCGGGAGGGCTGAGGATTCGAGGTGTAAGCTCTAGACTAAAACTTTTCTAGCTTCAATCAAGATTATAGAGAAACATCAACATCTACAACATCACATTAGTTTCATTGTATTATAGTGCATTTGTTTAGTATCCTACATGTTTATTATATTTTATAGTGCATTTGTTTAGTATCCTACATGTTTATTATATTTTTCTATTAGGACAACATAATTTGATTTGAAACGGGAGTATAACGCACGGCCACATTCCCCGAGCTGCCGAGCAGGACAGACACCTGAGTGGACACACACAAAAGCAGATATCTGAAACTGCGGAGAGGTGATATTGTTCAGTACATAAGTGAGCCAAGCAGGTTTCTTTAGGCTCAATGAGGCGGAGGTGAGCGAAAGCTTGTTCAAAAGTAAAAAACAAAACAAACACAGATACAAAGGGCATGTCCCACAAGGTCACAATCCAGAAACACAATCGGACTTCATCATTAGCCCAGCAGTCTTGGTCACGCCCTCATGCTTTCAGCATTGCTTCTACTCTGCTGCAGTGATGGAATATAGCATGAAAGAATCAGGGTCTGCCTGATACATAACAAAGAAAAGTGTTTCAACCAAATACTATTGACATAACATTCTTCCTAAATATCAATACGCACCTTCCTCATCCAACATTGGGCCTATCACCTTCCTCATCCACAACATTGGGCCTACGAAGAATTATTATTGAATACCGCTCATCGGTAATGTTCTGCTTGAAAAAGGGTAAAAAAAAATCAATGCATACCATTATGAATGAAAGATAAGTAAAACTTAAAATGAAACACTGCTGCTTTTTTCTATTTAAATATCCTACCTTCGGGTCAATGACTTTCTTTGAGACGCATTGTTCCTGCATCTCCTCATTCTTCCCAAGGCTAACACTGTCAGTGTTACCCCTAGATATGAAAATCAATAATTACATTACTATGCATCTTACTGAATGGCCACATATCTGACTTGTCACATAAGATGAGATAATATCCATCAATGTGTGTGCAGTAGAAAACAAGAGAACATACCATGTAAGTTGATTTATTTCAGTTGCAGAAGTTATCTCATCACTAACTCCCGGTGTGAGCTCAGCATCCGATTCAAATTCATCCAATTTACGGATTAGAAAGTTTAAGCCATAAGTCCGGATTCTCATGGAAATGTCTGTGGAGACCAAGCAACCAAGACTCGCACTCTTTAGCAAAGACCCAGCCTCCTTTGTGATACCCTTCAGATCATTGGTTTTGCAGCCGATGTAAACAAAAAGATCAAAATCAAGGTGTAAATAATTCGCATATTTACACTACAGTTCTCTTTGGTAAAACGCAGGCATGCACGTACCAGAAGGACTGCAGCAGTGTGGGTATTCGAATTCCCTTCGAACATGGCAAGGTCCAAGGCCCACTGCCGAATCTCGTTGCTTGTGTT